GGGGCGGCTGTTCATATATCTGATGACAGGTTGATGGTTTGTGTACACCAGAGTGGTCCTACAGATCTCAGTGGATAGGATATCTGAAGTCAGGGGTCACGTCCGTGGTTGTTGCTTCCATAATAGAGCCATAAGGTTGGCCAGATGCTTGTTAGTCACTAATCCTATTCTCAGCCGTCATCAGTCTGCAGGAGACAAAACGTAATACTAAGAAGCTGATATTTCATTTTTTTTATTATGACACAACGTGATTATAGAAGACAGACCCTCTTAGTTAACACTGTTACTAGCAGCGGACAACTAGGCTTGGGGCGGGGGCGGGGGATTTGTCCTGTGGGCCATTATGTGTAAGACACGGTGGGCTGAAGTCTTTTAAATAGAGATAAATCACCGTTCAGAGTGGGACCCTCAGTCAGAGTGGGACCCTCAGTCAGAGTGGGACCCTCAGTCAGAGTAGGATCCGCAGTCATTGACACATGGTGGACATTATATAGATGCCGGCTGTCTGTTCAGACCCTTGAACTTGGTCATGGTGGCTCGAGCTAACCCCCCGGTGCCTAAATCTGCGGGCCCTTGATCACGCTGGCCTGAGGCGCCATGGGTACCACCTATATACACGTGGTCATGTGTTAACATGCAGATAGAACTTCTCTTTAGGTGGTTTTAGTGTGCAGTAAAGTAAAATTTGCTGACAGGAATTTCACAATGACCTTCGTTTTCTCAGTTTAAACATTTGATGTTTTCTATTGTGAATAAAATCTGAGATTTATGAGATCTGCAGATCGCTGCATTCCGGTTTTATGGAGATTTTGCCGCGTCCCGAATTTTTTGGGGAATTGGGGTTGTCATTTTTTGGTCTATTTTTTTTTTCATTTTCAGAAGTCCTGGAAAGTTTCAGGGGATGAGAACAGCTACACACAGCTGGGCCGGGTGCTGGTGGCAGTTTTATCGGTAAGTTGGTTTTGTTTTATGTATTCAGTGTTAGTAATGTGACATTTGGCATAAAATATTCTGAACTTTTTCTTTTACTGACACATGCCCGGGTCGTGCGGTACCTCTTGCTCCGGGTGAGGCATTCCCCGCCCCCTGCCAGCTGAAGCCCCACCCCCGTCTGACAAAGCTCAGTCCTCAAGCTAGTGTAAAGGAGGAAGGGAGGAGCCTCCCTGTCCCTCACTTCCTCCTCACTGCTGAGGCGCTCCGTCCATGACAGGTTACACAGCGGGGAGGATTTCCCTAGGTAGATTCTTCTAGGTGAGGCTCCGCCCCCACCTGCCTCCCCTGACCATCCCTGGCTCAGAGATATTTCATATCAAGAGTGTAGAGGGCAGCGGACGGCACAGACATTATCCTATATTGGATATATTTCAGCCTGACTATACCCACATTGTTGTTCTTCTTAGTTTTGGATAGAGTTGGAAAGAATTCAAGTTTCTGTCACTTTCTCCCTATCTGTAACCCCTGCGGGGAAACTTTCCCACCCTAATCCATGCAGAGGGGTGGCGTAGCAATTAGGCCAGCAAGGCATGAGCAGCAATAAAAAAACGTTATTAGAAGTTATAACCCTTCCCCACTCTGCTGAGAATGTGTGCTAGGGTTGCCACCTGTCCAGGATTCACCCGGACAGTCCGGGTTTTGAATGCTGTGTCCGGGATGTCAGGCAGACGGGGGCAACCAGAATTAGGATAGGGGCTACTGGCCCCCCACTGAAAATAGTCTCAGCTGTGATATTTACATATAAATAAGCTGCAACTCATTGTCCCAAAAATATGTCCGCGCATCGCTAGAGTGTGTTCGGGTTTCGCTTGAAGAGTAGGTGGCAACCCTAATGTGTGCTCACTTCCTGTCCTAACAGGAAGTGAGGAGAAATCTCCCTCAGGGACTTTGACAAGAACTGGATTGTGATGTCTAGACGACTGGGTCGGAGCAACTCCAAAACTGCGGCTCTTGTGGCATGTTTCCGGTCTGCAGTGGTCAGTGTGATGCTTTGGGCAATGTTCTGCTGGGAAACCTCGGGTCCTCCATTCATGTGGATGTCACTCTGACACGGACCACCGACCTAAACATTGTCCCTGACCCGCCCCCCCTCATGGACACGGTATTCCCTGATGGCAGTGGCCTCTCTCAGCAGGATAATGCGCCCGGCCACACTGCACACATGGAGGAAGAATGGTTTGAGGAACACAACAAGGAGTTTGAGGTGATGACTCCGCCTCCAAATTCTCCCGATCTCAATCCAATCGATCATCTGTGGGATGCGCTGGAAGAACAAGTCCCATCCATGGAGGCCGATCCCCTCACAACTTACAGGACTTATAGGATCTGCTACTGACGGCTCGGTGCCAGATACCCTGTTTCCCTGAAAATAAGACCTACCCCGAAATTAAGACCTAGATGTGACCATTCCCATGGCCGCTAAGGCATAAGGGGGAACTTGAATAGCGGTGCCAACGAAGCCATCACTAGAGGAAGCGAGGCGGCGGAGGGAGCATAGCCGCATAAGCCGATGTTTCCTCTATAGCGCCGGCTCCTGTAACAGGCGGAGTGATACCAAATGCGCTCCGCCTGTGAGGAATCCATAGTGAAAGCTTCGCTCATTCTGGTTACCAAATTGCTCCTGGAAAGGTACGGCGCCCCCTGATTGCCCCGATCACCCGATTCCTAACTTTGCCATTTTGGAGTATTTAATTTGGATTTGAGTCAACTTTGGATTGTTATACATTAAAAACTAAAATAAGACCTAGTGTGTTTTTTTTAGCCGAAAAAAAAATATGACAGTGTCTTATTTTCGGGGAAACACGGTACCGCAGCACACCTACAGAGGTCTAGTGGGGTCCATGCCTGGAGGGGTCAGGAGAAGGGGAACCTCCTCAATATTAGGGGGTGTCAGAATGTTATGGCTCATCACTGTATGTGGTTAAGGAAGTGACAAAGACGCTTAATGTCTGGCAGGATCATGAGCTATTCTCAGCACTTGCTGAAATTATTATTGAAAAGTGAAATCTAATGCAGTCACTCCACCTAAGGTCTGGCCAGCTGCAGTATATATAATGTTAGTTTTGGGGTTTAGATTTAATGGGTGGGCACCCTCCTCATGGAATGTTATATATTGTGGGGGCATATCATTTGTGTAAAACATGTTCTATTGGAGAAGCTGTCCTCGATATATATTATTTGTTCCCTGTGACAATTCTTCTTTCTCTACAGCCGTACGTACAATGCGTTGTCCTGCTGCTGCTCCTGCGCCACCTAGAGGTCAAGAATGGGGGGAAATCCATCAGAAAAGATCCTCTTTTCAGGTATGATGCACTTATGTTTTCTCTCTTTCACTCGGATGTTACTCGGCACAGGAGCACAGTGTACCATGACCACAAGGGGGCGCTGTGACTCCTTCCCAATTCCTAAACACAGAAGGTTCCCAGCACACATACTGGTTAGCCTGCAACAAAACGAATTGCCGGGTCTAACGGAATGCGTTACAATCTGAGGTTTTAGTTGCACAACTTTTTGCAAAAAATATGTGGAAGCCGCACTCCCTGGTCCTGGCTCCTCTGTGTAACGCGGTCCTAACGCTAATCTTTGTGAGTCTGCATATTGGAGCATATTAGGCTGTTGATAAATTGAATGCAGGTGTGCCTGGGGGGAGGCCACGCCTCCTGTTTTCCTTCCCTATTCCTGGCACAGCTCCCTCCGGCTTTGTTTTTACTAGCCTGCTGCCACAATTCCTCTCTCTCCCCTTTAGCTGTACTGGCCCCTGGCTTGCAGCCTATGAGGGGTCCCAGCAACTGCACCATGGACATGGTTATCAAAGGGCAACTTGCACCCGTGTTAGAGGATCTCTTGCCTGATAGGAGTGTGCATTCAAAGTCATTGAACCTGTCCTAAAGGAAGTACCTGCGCTGCCATTGATCCTAGTTAGTCATTACCTGGAACAAGTTTACCGCGTGAACTGCATATTTGCACTGCACCAGAGACTCTTCAGGGCTTGCTTCCACCAGCCCGCGCGTCTACCACAACGTCCCGTGCCTGGAACGCAAGGAATCGCATGCATAAAGTCTCCATGCGTTCTGGGGCGGGAGGGGGCGTGGCAGCGCCATTCAAGTCAATGGCACTGCAGGCACGATCCCCCACCCGCAGTACGATCAGCTGTACAGGAACGCACGGTGATAAAATGTCCTGCGTTCCAGTGCGGTCACAACAATGGTGGTCCTTTTTCAGCAATAACTCTTCTGTTTCTCCTTCTCTGTGGTCGATGAGAATATTCCAGCAAATGATAGAACATGTTCTGCGTCTTTATTAGAAAAGACCGCTAATACGTTTGTTTATCTTTTTGAAATAAGAAGCATTTTGTTTTCTCGGTGGTCACAGGACGAAGGAGAAGAAAGGCAAAGCGTGGAAATTCACCGAGGTCCCGGAGGATGAAGATGAAGACGTCCGGGCAGAAAGAGCGCGGGTTGGCGAGTACATGGCCGCTGACTGTTATGAGGTAGGGGTCTTTGAAAGCGCAGTTCAACCCCTTAGGCCTCGTTCCTAGATCCATATATCCATGCTGTTTGGCAGGCCCCATGCTGATTGGCTGAAAAGCCGGCTTCTCAGCCAATCAGCATAGAGCCGGCTTCTCAGCCAATCAGCATGGAGCCGGCTTCCCGGCCAATTAGGAAGCCTGGAGGCCGGTCTTTAACCGCCACCCGGCTTCCTGATTAGCCAGGAAACCAGATGCATGCTGTTTGGCCGGCTCAATGCTGATTGGCTGGGAAGCTGGCTTCCCGACCAATCAGCATCAAGCTGGCTTCCTGGCCAATCAAGAAGCAGGGCGGCGTAACAGCATGAAGCCGACTTTCCAGCCAATCAGGAAGCTGGCTCCATGTTTGCTCACAGCACTCAAAGTTCCGGTATCGGGGAAGGTATCGGAGCATTTGGGCGAGTACGAGTACCGATATTTATCTTTTTGGTACTCGCCAATACTGGTACTTCCACACACATGGAGCCAGCTTCCCAGCCAATTAGTAAGCCGACCGCAACTCATTACCCGCCACCAGGCTTCCTGATTGGCCAGGGAGCCGGCTCCATGTTTGCTCACGGCACTGCAAAGTTCCGGTATCGGGGAAGGTATCGGAGCATTTGGGCGAGTACGAGTTAAATCATTTCTGGTGATCCTGCCACGAAGTTCCTTGTTCAGCCATTTTCCTGTCACCTTGTCACATGGAGCCGCGATGGAGACTACAAGCGGCTGTGCCGACACACGTAGCTCAGGCATGGTCCACCATTGTCCCCAAGACCCAGAGCTTCAGCAAACCAGAAGTCCTCCATTTGGGATTGACATCTAGGTTATCCTTTGTCTCTCACAGAAGCCTGCCATCATGGTGAGCGGGTTACACAAAGAATACAATGAAAAGGGAAAGACCATTGTGGGGAAGACGATGAGGAAGGTCGTGGTCAATAACATATCGTTCTGTGTGAGGAAAGGTGAGCCGTCCCGGGACCTCAGCGCGCCGATCTCTGCAACGTCTCCGATCACCAGAAATGTCTCCATTGTGAACTTGTCTTCCCAATTTCAGGGGAGATCCTCGGACTGGTGGGGCCGAACGCATGTGGAAAAAGTACGATATTGGACATGATGGTGGGACAGACGGACCCCAATGCCGGACAGGTCAGTACCGTGTTCTTGTGAGGGAACGCCAAGAGTATTGGTGGGTCTGTTGTGTTATACGGAAAGAGTACCTGTAATAGTGTAGTAAACCTTACAGTGCAGCAGAGACGGCAGTTACAGAGACCCCGTCACCGGCCTCAAACAATTACAGGTAAAAGCACAAGAAAAATCAAGTCTATGAATTGCTTACTTGCAGCATTTTTCCTTTACAGCCCCTCTCCTCCCTACATAAACTTTTATGTAGCTGCTGGGGATGGGACAAAGGGGAATACTATAGAGCAGGGCTCAAAATTTCAGGTCCTAGCCAGGCCTTAAAAGTTACTCTCCACCAGTTGCCCTGCATAACACAAACACACACAGGGCACAACCTGCACCAGCACAACGCACAGAGCATTACACATACAGCCACAGCACAACACACAGGGCACAGTACATTACACATACAGCCACAGCACAACGCACAGTACATTACACATACAGCCACAGCACAACGCACAGAGCATTACACATACAGCCACAGCACAACGCACAGAGCATTACACATACAGCCACAGCACAACGCACAGTACATTACACATACAGCCACAGCACAAC